CCAGAGGGGGAAGTGGGAGGGGCCAGCATCAACGGAGGCGCCCATTGGGTGCCACTGACCCCTCCGTCACCGTTGTTGGGATCCAGGGGTGTCTCCAGGGGCGGGAGGGGCTATGGGCGTCGGTATGGGCTGTAGTTGTGGTTGGTGGTGGGGAAACAGATCCTCCCCCCGGCTGAGGAATTTCAAATATGCTGGGAAAAGCGGCCCCCACGCCCCCAGCGCCTGCGTGGCTACGCACTGGGGATACTGGGTCCAAACTGGGACTTTGCCAGTGGCTCACGGCCATCGCATGGGGGTGGTGAAGGAAGGTGGTGAGTGGTGGTGAGGCAAAACTGGGGACATGGGGGAAACAAGGACATGGGGATACAGGGACATGGGGATACTGGAACACGGGGATACAGGGACACGGGGACGTGAGGATACAGGGACATGGGGACACGGGAATACAGGGACACAGGGACACGGAGACACGGGGATACAGGGACACAGGGACATGGGGACACGGGGATACAGGGACACAGGGATATAGGGGCATGGGGACACGGGGATACAGGGACATGGGAACATGAGGACACAGGGAAGCCAGCGAGACTCCTGCCCCATTTGAGGTGACATCACGATGGCTCGGAAAATCCCTGGGGACACACGGGAGCACCATGTGCCATGCACCACAGCCACCGGACAGCCCCAACACTGCCACCACCGTCTCCCCCACTGCACCAGACCACTGTCCCCATCCTGCCACTCATCCCTGTGGGGCCGTGGGGACAGGGGCAGGGGTAATTAGCAGCCAGGCAGAGATTTAATTGATTATCAGTTCCGCGAGAGCAGGGAGCGGGTTCGATTGAACCGTCGCCCTCCTGCCACCGCGTCCCCTGCAGGCAGCGAGGACGGGTGACATTGCGCCAGGCTGGGGGTCACAGTGCTGGGGACACTTGTCCCTGGCCCCTCTGCAGTGTCACAGCCTATGGGGACATCTGGCCCCAACCCTGCTGTGTCACAGCCCCCAGATAGGACCTGACCCTGGTGTCACAGCCCTTGGGGACAACTGACTGCATCCCCATGGTGCCATGGATCCCAGGGATAGCAAATGACATCCCCATGGTGTCACAGCCCCTAGGGACAACCAGTGCCATTCCCATGGTGTCACAGTCTCCACTACACCCAGCTCTGTCCCCACAGTGTCACAGATCCCAGGAGCATCCAACAACGTCTCCATGGTGTCACAGACCCTGGGGACACCCAATCTTGTCTCCACGGTGTCAGAGTCCCCAGGGACAACTGACCCCATCCTCACAGTGTCACAGACCCCGGGGACATCCAACAATGTCCCCACAGTGTCACAACCTCCAGGGACATCCCCACACCGGTGGCCTCCCAGGGATGGCCAATGCCACGCAGGGCCAGGATACCCAGCTGTGCCTCAGTTTCCCCACCTGCACAAGGAGCAAACAGCACCGTCCCTTATTAATATTATGTATTTTTTGTAAAATATTTCTATTAAAAATATTAATAGAATGGGATGGGGAGGGATTTTTCCTCAAAAAAGAGGGAAACT